TTATCCTACATACATATAGATCAAATAGAAAAAATCCGAAGGATTATGTTTTGCAGTTGAACTATTTCCTGAAGGAATAGATTGTTTTCGGTAGACCCATATTAACAAGAGTTATTTCCCATTGGCCGCCATCTTGTGGGTAACAGGTAATTTTCCCTCTTTGTCCCACCAAATATACTAGGGTGTAGCAGAAATATTTTTGGGGAGAATTGTTATGAAATAAACATAATGAAATAAAGGAGGCTCTAACAAAGGTATAATTGTCAGAAAAACAATGCTTCACAGCCTACAATAGCCAGTATAAAAAGTTAAATTTGTTTGAATTATGAAGGAATATTAGCATGTAGACCCACAATATGGCGGCCGAAGGGAAATAAATCTTCTTAATTTTGGTCTACTGAAAACTATCTATAAAAGTTTTGATAATTTTCTCCACCAAATGCTCCCACTACAGCTACACATTATTTGTGTTGTAATAAATTGAAAATCACACATGTTTTGTTCCTTTTTAGGAGCAATGCGGAATGAAGATGTCTGGACAGGGAATCAGACTAAATATCGATTTTTAATACATCTTACAATGGCAGCTTTACTTTCTGTGAATTTCAACATTGAATTAAATTCTAATTTTATAACATTTATACCTATTAATGCATCTCCCCTGATACAGACCTTTTGGACTAGGCGCATGACACAGCGAATAGGAAGTATGAGTGTCTCGCCCTCGGGGCTGAGATATCCAAGTCTTGATCTGTTGTCAAAAGGCTCTCTGACCCTCGGGGCTGAGATATCTATGTCTCGATCTGTTGTCAAGGAGCTCTCTGGCCTTCGGGGCTGAGATATCTATGTCTCGATCTGTTGTCAAGGAGCTCTCTGGCCCTCGGGGCTGAGATATCTATGTTTCGATCTGTTGTCAAGGAGCTCTCTGGCCCTCGGTGCTGAGATATCTATGTCTCGATCTGTTGTCAAGGGGCTCTCTGGCCCTCGGAACTGAGATATCTATGTCTTGATCTGTTGTCAAGGGGCCCTCTGGCCCTCGGGGTTGAGATATCTATGTCTCGATCTGTTGTCAAGGGACTCTCTGGCCCTCGGGGCTGAGATATCTATGTCTCTATCTGTTGTCAAGGGACTCTCTGGCCTTCGGGGCTGAGATATCTATGTCTTGATCTGTTGTCAAGGGACTCTCTGGCCCTCGGGGTTGAGATATCTATGTCTCGATCTGTTGTCAAGGGGCTCTCTGGCCCTCCGAACTGAGATATCTATGTCTAGATCTGTTGTCAAGGGGCCCTCTGGCCCTCGGGGCTGAGATATCTATGTCTCGATTTGTTGTCAAGGGACTCTCTGGCCCTCGGGGCTGAGATATCTATGTCTCTATCTGTTGTCAAGGGACTCTCTGGCCCTCGGGGCTGAGATATCTATGTCTCGATCTGTTGTCAAGGGTCTCTCTGGCCCTCGGGGCTGAAATATCTATGTCTCTATCTGTTGTCAAGGAGCTCTCTGGCCCTCGGGGCTGAGATATCTATGTTTCGATCTGTTGTCAAGGAGCTCTCTGGCCCTCGGGGCTGAGATATCTATGTCTCGATCTGTTGTCAAGGGGCTCTCTGGCCCTCGGAACTGAGATATCTATGTCTTGATCTGTTGTCAAGGGGCCCTCTGGCCCTCGGGGCTGAGATATCTATGTCTCGATCTGTTGTCAAGGGGCTCTCTGGCCGTTGTCAAGGGGCTCTCTGACCCTCGGGGCTGAGATATCTATGTCTCGATCTGTTGTCAAGGAGCTCTCTGGCCCTCGGGGCTGAGATATCTATGTCTCGATCTGTTGTCAAGGGACTCTCTGGCCTTCGGGGTTGAGATATCTATGTCTTGATCTGTTGTCAAGGGACTCTCTGGCCCTCGGGGCTAAGATATCTATGTCTCGATCTGTTGTCAAGGGGCTCTCTGGCCCTCCGAACTGAGATATCTATGTCTAGATCTGTTGTCAAGGGACTCTCTGGCCCTCGGGGCTGAGATATCTATGTCTCGATCTGTTGTCAATGGACTCTCTGGCCCTCGGGGCTGAGATATCTATGTCTCTATCTGTTGTCAAGGGACTCTTTGGCCCTCGGGGCTGAGATATCCACGTCTCAGCCCGTTGTCAAGAGTCTTTCGCCCCGTGGAGATCCGGGTTAGAATATTTCCTCAGTACCTCTTGCTTGTCGTAAAAGGCGACTATATGGGGCAGTCCTTCGGATGAGACCGTATAAACCGAGGCACCTTGTCACAGCAGGTGTGGCACGATAAAGACCCCTCCCTGCTCAATGCCCCTGAGTGCCGAGCATAGGCCTAAATGTGCAGCCCTTCACCGGCTATGGTGACGTCTCCATATCAGTGAAATATTCTGGAGAGGGACGATAAACAGAATACAATCAATCAATCAATCAAGAGGCTTTCTCGCCCTCAAATTAAAAAAGATCTGTTTAATTTATGTGAATTTAGAGTAAAATTTATATTCCAGTATTAATAGTAAAATTCATATTCCAGTATTAAAACATTATCTATCGAAAGTTTTAACAAGGATCCTTACGAAATATTTTTTTATACTAGAATTTTGGGGAAATTGTTTTTAAAAAGAGCACCAAATGATATTACTTGTGATGTAAGAGTAACACTTGTTTACTTCTAGGACAGAAGCAAATCATGTTTTAGGAAAAAAATGGACGTTTAGTTGCTTTGATAGTTTGAAATGGGGTAATATATGTTCAAAGGGGTAAAGATTGAGTCCCTATAAATCTGAGACTTATAACTTGTAATGATTCGTTGGAGAAGTTGGAACCCTAGTTCGATCCAAAGTGAAAGTAGAATGTATTTAAGTTTGGGACCTTTTAAACCTTTTTTAATGTGCTTTGAAAGAAAATATATTTATTCAACGTCAAGAAAAATCTTTAGGAACATCAAAATAAAGAAAGATAACTTTATTTTTTTTACTATGAAATTATATAACTTTTTTGATAAAAAATATCTAAATATTTGTTCCTTTCTTCGCTTTTAGGTAAATGATATAAAAGGTATCATACCACTGTTTTGTTTATTATAATTTAGAAATCCCCTTACTTCGGCTGACAATTATAACTGGAGTTACTTAAAACCAAGTGGTCTGGGAACTTTGCTAATGTATAAACTATATCTATTAAAAGGTCTACTAGGGATTACATATTTTTGATGCAGTGACCAGGACGTATGCATAGAAGCCGTGACATCGTAATTTATCATTGAATGAAATGCTGACTGACGTTTTTCATACCAATTGTAAATCCATTATTTATACACTGAATTGACCACGGATTTTTTCCGTTATTTCCTGATTATAACAACGAACACACGGCGGGTGTGATCGGTCGGCAGGGGATGCTCACTCCTCCATGGCACCTGATCCCACCTCTGATGTTTTACTCTGCTCTTATTTTGTATATTTGTTTAATGGACGTTGAGATTGAATACTGTTTGTTATTTCCATATCCTTCATCGCTCAGTTAAGATTTTCACAGTGTAGGGAGAGTGCATCGACCCTAGAGTTGTAAGGTTACATGTTTGTGGAAATAGAAGACAAAGTACTTTCGTAATGTTATGACAGGTGTCATTCAGCCCCCTGATCCTGTTAGTATCAAAAGACCGAAAGTTTCATGGTAGAAATGGAGCATAGCAAAAAACGCTGAATTCAGTTTTAACAATAACTTAAATGTAAAGGAATAAATGGTATTTTGAAAAGAAAAATATAGAAACAAATGTTTTCATGTGGATCAAATTGCATTTATTAATTTGTCATCTTAAATAGTTACATAGGCATTTTTATTCAATATATAGTCATATAAAATTTCTTGTGAATGATACAAAGGGAGATAACGAACAGTATTTAAGATTTAAAGTCCATAAAACAACACAAAACAGAAATAGAGCAAATACGATTTAGCATCAACTGCCGATCAGTCACACCAACCGTGTATTCATTCTCATGATCGGGATCCGTCATCAATTAAGTATATAAATAATTGACTAACTAGTATTTTGTGGTATTTCATATCATTAATTATAAACTTATTAATTTAGAACGGACAATTTATTTGAACATTTTTTACTAGTACCATAATAATATTATAATAATTTAACAAACTTTTGCATCAATGTCTACAGCTGATGTAAAATAAATCCGGCAGTTTAAAAACAAAATAAAGCATGATATTGCGGATTTAAGTTTCGGATGTCCTCTGTTACATATAGCCATAAATAACAGTATATTAAGTGTGACGTAAATACTTAGCATGTGGTCGTAAACAGTGCTTTGTTTCCTTTAACTTGTAAATGTAAATAGTTTCTATTGCTTAAGTACTTCTGACTTTGTTATTGTTTATACTTTTACGTTAAGTAAATATGTTAATGACATAATGATATAATAAGAAGTATCTTTGTGAGATAATTATCTTTCGTCGCAATATACATGTTTCCTGTTATACTTCAAACAATAGGAACTCCCAAGTATTCTGATGTTTACACACTAAATTTTTGCGCATTATCTAGACATCTCTTAATCACAATATTCGTGATTCCAGTTATACTGCACACATCAGGTACTGTCAAGGGTAACCTAGTCAAGTATTCTGATGCTTACACAAAAAAAAAATTGCGCATTATCTAGACATCTCTTTATCACAATATTCGTGATTCCTGTTAAACTGCACATATCAAGTACTGTCAAGGGTAACCTAGTCAAGTATTCTGATGTTTACACACTAAATTTTTGCGCATTTTGTAGACATCTGTTTATCACTTCGTGATTCCTGTTTAACTGCACACATCAAGTACTGTCAAGGGTAACACTGTCAAGTATTCTGATGTTTACACACTAAATTTTTGCGCATTATCTAGACATCTCTTTACACACCTCATGACATCATTTGAATGAGGAAATCCCCAAATGTCTCTATATATACAATGTGCATTATCTAACTGATGTACAAAATTCTCTTTCTCTGGTAATCTCACAACAAAATTGAAAGGATGACGATGTTTTTAGTACTAGTACTGATTTTCATGTCTGTATCACAAGTCAAGACGGCTTCCATGTTAACCGGTACTAACGATCAGAACGCCACTGCTCTGATAAACGAAAGAAATGAGATCGATATTCTCCGTCAGCTCGTCAATCAAGAGACACTAATACGAGTATCCGTTGTCAATGACGTCAAGACAGCTCTGGATGACGTCAATTCTGTGAAGAAAAACATGGAAATATTACAAAGAAAGGTTGATTCTCTGACTGAGGAGCAGAAAAGAGTAAACAGTAATTGCCAGGAAAAGATTCAGGAACTTGAAAAGAAGTTTACTAAAAAAATTGCCGAAATTTACGAAGGTGCATTCTCTTTCTGTTCCTCTCTTCTTATTCTTCTACGTTTTCTTCTTTTTATAATCACAATGTCTATGATTTTTTTGTCATACAGATGTCAAACTCAAACAGGATTGTAAGGACCACAATATAAAGGGACAAACACAGTCCGGTGTCTATGAAATTCATCCGTTTGAAAACCAGACCCAAGTCAGCGTGTATTGTGACATGGAAACCGAGGGAGGTGGGTGGACAGTAAGATTTTTTTTAGATATCTTTCTTTTTATTACATTTGTCTATTTGAATTTTATTTGAAATTACATTTGTACATGTAACATGCGGGCTTCAGTAGATAAAATGCATATATTTTAAAAAAACCAAACAATACCGTAAATGAAGCATTTATTTCTTTTTTCAACCCAAAGGCAATTCAGAGACGTGTGGGCGGATCTGTGAGATTCAACAAAACGTGGGCGGAGTACAAGACTGGGTTCGGGAATCCTAACGACTCCTACTGGATTGGTAAGTACTTATGTTAATCTCTCATTCTACAATAGTATGATGAATTCAGGGTATGTACCATTAAAATATAATTTTGCAAATCCGCTTTGATAGCACTATCAATACGAGTGCATTATAAATAATACAAATCTGATGTTAACTTTTTTAAATCGTAGAGTTAAAAAATAACATTGGTTTAGGGTATGGCGCAACTAAAAATTTTAATTAAAGTCTGATATTCTTGAAATCCTCATTTATTTTAATTTAAAACGTATGCTATACTCCTGAAATTTTAATTTATTTCTAACGATACATATTGCGTTTGTAGGAAACGACGTTATTCAGCAGTTGACAAAGGGAAGGAACTCATCTCTCTACGTTTCCATCACATTAAGAAATGGCACAACTCTGTATGAACTCTATCAACAGTTTGCTATTAGTGATGAATCGGACAAATACAGACTTTATCTTGGTGGGCCAGCTACCGGGACCCTAGGTTAGTTATTGATAAATGATATGAGAGAGAGAGAGAGAGAGAGAGAGAGAGAGAGAGAGATAAGAGAGAGAGAGAGAGAGAGAGAGAGAGAATAAGTGTTTAAAATAAAAGTTTCCTTTTTATTTTTATTATTTATTAAAAGTCCAATGTGTTGTAGTTAGACTAGATAAACACCAAAGCATAGATAAAATATTGTAAGATATATCGTGCAGCAAAATAATAGGGACATCACATATCAGACAAGATATTTTTATATTGGTCATTCGTATTCATTGAATTTTAAATAAGTTAGTAAACCTGTCTTGTTTTCAGATCGATATAGTCAATTTAAAAAAAAAAGAATCATAACGAAAAGAAAATAGAGATTACATCAGGTTTATTGATATATAATCCAGGTGTTACCTTTACTTCTACAGGAGACGCTATGTTAGACACTGGGAAGTCTACGAGAAATCTGTCTGGAATGTTCTTCTCCACTCCAGACAGGGATAATGACGGAGCTATGGGTCCGAACTGTGCCGCAGCTAATGAAGGAGGCTGGTGGTTTAACTACTGCCACCTCGCCTACCTTAACGGTCCCTGGCCCCCGGCAATGTGGGCCGCTCCATGGAAACCTATAGTAGAGGACGGATCCTCAGTAAGGGAGACCATGATGTTAATTAAACCTCACTAGGTAAACCATTCTGTTATTTTCTAATCAAACACATTCATGATGTATTTCCTGATCGTTTTATGTTGAGTCTGTTTTATATTTTAAAACAACGGGATTCGGCATAATAAATATGAACTTTATTGTTGATCTTTCTTTTCTAGTTTATCTTTTTCTCTATTTTTGTGTACAGATGCAGATAATACAGGAGGAAAGAAATTGATATAATAATGCAAAAGAATTCCGTTCCTTAATAATACAACAATGGATAGTTTAATAGTACAAGTATACAATTTTTATGTGTGATTAAAAAAGCTTACTTCTATGAAATATACATTTTATATTTATAATCATTTTACATAGTACACTAAGATGATTTTGCTCATGGAGTGTTATTAACTTTTCTTACAAAATGTATAATACGGTATTAGTAGTTTCGTCATTTTGTCAATAAATGACCTTTTTTCGTTTAAAATTTCGATAATCTTTTTCCTGTATATCAAACGAAGTTAATAGTTCTGCTTGGATCGGTTGACAAAAACAGAACTTTGATTTTTGTAGGACCAGTTTTAAAGATAAAGATGTTTATTTATTTATTGGATTTAAAAACCCGCTGAACCTCTAAATTTAGCAACGTTTTTAAATAGTTTAAATATATTTTGTAAAGTGAACCCTTGTTTTTACCAACATAAATAAGTTCACAAAAACTAGACAACATTTAGCAGATAGCGTCAAAGTAATTTAGTTGATGCAAAATTTAGAATTTGAGAGTTATCTCTCTTGTCTTAGAGAGGCTGTTTGTGACACAAAGAAAACCACATAAATTAACCTAATGTTAAAGGCTGGAAGCAATCTTTTTTTTTTAATAATTGAACAGATACAGTACACGTAAGGATGTGAATGGAATTTCACAACTTATTATTTTTTTAAATCATATAAGCGTGAATCATTAGAAAAATAGGTAACAAAACATATATATAAAGTTGATTTTTTTCTAAATACCTATTAATAATAATAATAATAATAATAATAATACTCCATTTAAAGAGGGTAACCCGATTAGTGCAATGCAGTAGTCTTCCTCGGGGCCCTCTAAACTCATTCACAATAATACAATATTAAAAACATCGTACAATATTATAATGAATAATACAACGTGACGTGAAAAAAACATGTACATATACAGATTGATTCAAGAACATGAAATTATATAACTTTTAGTTTCTACATGTTATAATGAATTTTTCTACATTTTTACGAAAAGTTTGTACAGTTGGTGAGAAACGGATATGCAAAGGTAATTTGTTCCATACATGAACTCCAGAATAATGAAAAGAATTTTTAAATTGATTTGTTCTATATTTTGGTAGATGAAGGTCATAGTTCGTTTCAGATCGTAGAACATAACTATTAGAGGAAATAAATTCAAAGGAGTCTCTTAAATATGTTGGTGCCATACCATGAAGTGTTTTGTACAGTAATACATATTTATGAAAATCAATTAACTCATAAATGGTCAGCCATCCAAGTTTTTCAAATAATGGTAGTGAAGGGGCATGAAGAAGCGAGATCTATTGCATGTATATATAAGAATACTAGTATCTTATTAATGACATTATATAAGTTTTGATAATGAAACTGATTAGAACGAATTTTATAAGACTTTCTTCCATTCCTTATATCATTGTGCTATTGTCATTAAAGACAAATCATGTTTAATTAGTCAAAATGAGAAAGGGTGAAAGTACGGATATGGAGATAGCGAAAAGTATTCAATCCCAAAGTCCATAAAAAAAATCAAAATGCGAGCAGAGTAAACACGAACCTCCGAAACATCAGAGGTGGCATAAAATGCAGAAGAGGAGTGTGCCGACAGGTGTGTCCTCCTTGTTGGGATCTAACGGGAAAATCCGTCGTCAATTTAGTGTATGATAAATGGACTAACAATTGGTATGAAATTGGTACCTTGTTAGATTACCATTAACGTTGTTAAGTATAATATATATGAATCAGATGTGTCTCAAGCTCACCAGAATGTATCGTGTCTACGTAGGAATAGAAATTACCACCGTCGATTTATCTAACTGTCGAGTTGAAGGTCACAGTAAATGTTTTCTGATTTCACGTATAAGATTTTGAAAAAAATTCTGCCTCATATGAATATAGAAACTTTCATTCAGGAGGGTTGTTATCTAAGTAAAGAAAAATGGGTGTCACATTCATTAAATACACGTGCGTCAGGTAAAAATGCTTACAGCGACATTAACCAATTTCTATAAATAATTTTGTATTACACGTGCAGCTTTGTTGAATGACTTAAGAAAAACAGATATAAACAAAATGAAATTCTTTTCGATAAAATAAAATGCAAGCATTGACACGTACACATTCAAATCTGTTTGAGAATGACTTATTTATTGAATGAAACACAGGAATCGACATTAATGTAAACAGTGCAAATGATTTATTTTCTTAATGATTTGTGTAACTGAATCGTCTATTCAGTTACACAAATCATTTAGAAAATAAATTTATATTGATTACGACAGTAGATATTGTATGAATTATGTCCCTTTACACTGTGCTGAAAGCAACTCTGAAGTTGAATGAATTTTAAGTCTGACCTACATTGCATGAACTTACTCTTCATAGCTGTTTAAGTAGCAAATTAGACACAAAGGTATTGACCTTACTATTAGGTCTTATAAGCTCTGTTTGAAAACAAACAATGAATTTCTGTTTATTAATTAAGTCAATATTAAATTCTATTGCAACACATACCGAAGGTTACATTTTTATGCCTTTCTGTCAATGTTTGAAAAAAAAATAATTTGGTTTTCTTTATGTTTAAAAAATTGCTGAAATACATAAACGGTTTTAACTTTAATATCAAATTATAAGAAAAACTACCTCTGGTATCTTGCATAAATGCCTGGTAAGGTACCTCAATTTTTTGTGAGTAAACATCTTTATGTAGCAATACTTCAATTAAAAACTCTTGGAGATTTTTACATATTATTAAGGATCGAACGTCTCGTCTGCCCTTAAAAAAAGTTTCAAGAAAAAAGTACTACTCCTTGATTTTATGATTTAAGTATAAATATAATATAAATCAATGAGAGAGAGAGAGAGAGAGAGAGAGAGAGAGAGAGAGAGAGAGCACTCGCGCTCACCGACTTGTGGGGAACTCACACCTGACAAAGGACCTTTCTTATGGGGAAAGTTCAGAATTGTGGGGAACTCTCTCGTTCCCCACAAATATGGTCATGGGGTTTTTTGAATTCTACGTGTTCTACTTATAATATTTATTCGATTTGTGGTCATTTTTGAAAATTTCCCCATAAGTCCGTAAAATTGACTCGCAGTAATTTTCTCACTGCACCGTAAAACGAATGTTTGAGGATTCATTCGGAACGCTTAAACTGGTCCCCAGATGATACCAATTTATTGCGGGCAATGGCTTCTCCGAGAATGTGGTAAGTAGATTATTTATCATATTTAAAAGATATTAGGCTGAAAACTTATTTAACTACGTAAATCATGCATGCAGTTATTTCTTCTAGACGTTCGTAAAGTAACATTTAATATGAATGCTCGTAAAACTTTGGCCAGTTTGGGAAAGTTTGACCCGACCTAGACCTCGTTTTTTTTTAATTGTATCATGTTTATAGGCCTAATGGCTATCCTGTAAAATCAAACCACGGATTTATATGAGTCCAGCACCCCCGGGATATGGTAAGCGGTTAAGGCTTGTTCCCATTTTTTGTGAAACAAGTGCCTATCCTCCTCATGCCCATACAAATTATACTAGACGGTGCGACTGTCTGGTCTTTAGCTGTTTAGTGAGGCCTGTGTGGGCGAATTAAAAGTTGATAAATAGGTAGTGTTTCCTATTTTAACCTTAGAAAAGATAGGGTAAGTAGGTAGGAAAAACATTTTTATTTTATTTTAACATTTTATTGGCAGCCATGCTGCCACTTTCCCACAGGATTTCACTGTCAAAATATTTCTGATTAATATGTGTAAGATATGCATTTCTCAAACATGGAAGTGATCAAGATTTGGATTTCATTTCTAATTGTAAACTGGAATACTGTAATATGTGTATATGATTTGTTGCTCTCAAAATTTTAGCATATTAAATCACTGGGTTGGCATAATCATAAATTAGCGCTACACATGTTTGTGAGGTGTATTGTATATATGTAAATGATTTCTTAGCAGTATTCATGAATTAGCCCCTTCACGGTAACTGCCGTACTGCTCTTCTGCAGGGCAAAATAATAACGTTTGGCGAAGTTTTTGTTGAAAGATAAGTAAATGGCGTATGTTTAAACAATTACTTTTACGTCATATTTCACCAAACTATATCATTTTGCCCTGCAAAAGAGCAGTACAGCAGTTACCGTGAAACGGTCTATTAGTGCATTGTTGTCTGCACCAAAGCCGCTTAAATATGAAGCCTGCATTTTAAAGTATACATACAGTAGTTTACTCATGGAAAGATATTAGCAGAAAAAAATTGAGAGCCGGCTCCTATATTTCTTAGAGTTAGGCGGGGAGTGAACATGCTGAAAACACACTTTTTAATTAAAGATCACCTTTTATTTTTAGAATTTGTTTCATTCAGACCTTGGCCTTGGGGTTTAGATGCTGATGGAATAAATAAGAAACATAATAATATGTAAAAAATAAGTAAAAATCCTTTTCAAACCATCAGGTACTATTGAATTACGATTGGACATGGTTTACAAAATAATGCGAATTGGAAGAAATGGAGAAACATAGTAATAACAATTAGATCAGCTTTTATGATAGCTAGCATATAAAAAATTTAAAATTGGTAATAAAATTGAAAGGTAAGGCCATAATAAAAATATTCCTAGATTCTCATCCCCGCCCGCCCTGATTTTAAACCCCCGCCTCGATTTTTTTTTATTTCTGTTTTTCTTTGTCTTAATTCTGATCGGGATCGGTATTCATCTATCATTCTACTTTCGTTTTAAATCTCGCGAATGTCAACATGATTTTGACAGCTGAAAAGATGTTAATTGCTGTAATACACACGTATATATTTTAAACAAGGGTCATTGGTTGAAAAGATTGGTGATGATGTGAAGTAAGAGATAATTATGGAACCTTTACTATGTCTTTTATTCTGGTATTGTAGATAAAATTACACCGATTGACTAGGTCATTAAAAAATCTGCAAAATCGAAAAATATAAAATAAAAGCCGCCCGCCCCGATTTTTAAAAAAATTTGGATGAGAATCAATATAGCAATTTATTTATTATGGCCTAATGTTGAGATTTTAAGATTCAATATCTATTATTCAAAATCATTTATATTTGCTTAACTGAATGTATACCTTTTCAAATTTAAGTACTCATAACGATCACGCTCTAAGTTTTGGGTAAAGCTGAAACGAATGTTCGAACATTCGCGAACGAATAGTTTTTCGCGAATATTCGAATGGAAAATTTATATTCGAATATTCGTTCA